ACTGGGCATCTTATTCGCAATCCTCTTGTGGATCGAGATTTAGATCTTAGTCATCTTGATATGAAAATGTTAATGAAAGAGTGAACTATATTAACCCATATCACACTACTCACTGATACAGAAATGAAGGTTAGTAAAAATCATAAAAACAATTAATGAATAACTTAATTTCAGTAAACTCATTTATCATAAATAAAATCATTTATTACATACTTACCGTAGCGAGATTTTCAAAATCGACCTATAGAGTCAATAACATAAACAACATCGTAATTTCATTTTTAATTAGATAGAACAATAACTTTCTCTTTTTATCTGTCTACTGGTATCTATGGGCTTCATATGGATGTCCCCATTACGCGCGAACTTTTATTCAATATTGTCAACTAATTGGCCGTCCTCATACCCCGTCCGGTATGAGCGTCAAAAATATCATTCCTCAATACCCCGTCCGGTATGAGGGTGAAACTGGCCGTCCCCATACCCCGTCCGATATGAGTACCAAAAATACCAATTCTCGATACCGTACCCGGTATGAGACAACGTTCGCAATAGGGTCCTATGTACCTGGTCCGTACACCATCTCCCAGGATATCCAGTAAGGTTACTATTCATTCATTCACTTAATCAAGGAATTTTTCGCTTACATTTAATTTTCAGTTTTATAATTTAACTGTAAATCACACAAGACAAGCAATACATGCATCAAGAAAATAAAACTGAATTATCTTACCAACTCCAGTGTATTATTATGTATTTAAAATTGTAAAATCAATCAATCAGTTAAAACATGACAAATAATAATAAATAACTAGTTTCAGCTCCATTAGTAACTTGTAATTAATTATCGAAGTTTTTTAAATTACGCAAAATACCATATTATTTATAATTAAATTTTAATGTCATGACAGGAAATAAGGTGAAAGATTCGTACCTAAATCAGTATTCGAAATACTAAACTTTCAGCTGTGCTTATTGGCGGTCACTGGGTTTCCTAAATTTTCATTCGAAAATTAAAACATACTTCAAGTACCTAGAAATACAAAAAAAAAAAAAAACCTCAAAATCGGTGATAAAAAATTTTTCCGGCCAATTTCGAAATTCCAGCACAGCGGCACTGTTGTGCTCCGGTAACGGCCCGCCGTGCTCCAGTAATGGGTTACCTTAGACTATCCGTTTTTGGCTAGTTTTAGCCAATTTTGGCCGATTTTATACTCATCCCTATGAAAAAACACATTAAGAGGATTTGGTTAGCCGAAAAAAGTTGAAAAATAAAAACTCACCAGCGGCAGATTTTCCAGTGCGGCAGCTCCGCCAGCTTACCTTCGCGGTTGGACGTTTTTCTTCGGTCAATCTGTAGAAAATAAAATGATGAATACAATGATAAAAAAATCGTACGAAACGAGAATCGATAAGGGGCTCACTGGAGGTGATATTTAATTTTTTTCGTGGTGGCACCGTCGAACTTTACTCACGGTTTCTAGCTCATCTGTAGGGTCTTTTGCTCCGATTTGGCCATGAGGGTGTTCAAAATCAAATTTCGAGTGAATGAAATTTTTTTTACCTTTTCTGGCGATCAGATGTGGCTCCGAGCGCGATGAAGGGCAGCGGTCGGCTCCCTTCTCCGACGACTGGTTCTTCTACGGTGAGGGGCTGGCGACTAGGGTTAGGGTTCGATGTGAAGTGAAGTATTTATACCCATCTTCCTTTAATCTGAACTGTTCATCGTATTTGATCTTGATCGTTTGATCACGTTTAAAGAGAAAATGAATTTGAATCGTTCATCGCGATTTGATTTGAACCGTACGATCGCATTTAAAAAGGAGACAAATCTGGACTATTCATCGTGTTTAATCGTGACCGTCTAATCGCGCCTGAGGAGGGAATGAATTCGGATTGTCCATGTGTGCTGGAACAAATCCAGATCATCTGATCGCTGGTACGCAGATTGTCAGCGTGGCACTGAGTCAGCACGCCTTGCCACGCGGTGTACTCTGGTTCGTCGGGACTACTGATTTGGCGGTCCTACATGACACATTTTTTTTAAATTGTTTTTTGACCCCCAATTTTTATTTTTCTTTTAAAAATACCTCATGAATCTAAATTTTTACCATTTTTTTTCAAAATTGTTTTCAATTTCATCTTTCACCTATTTTTTTCATAATTTTTACATTAAATAAAAATTTAAAAATTTAAAAATTATATGTAAATATATTTATTTTATTTTTTAAATTAATTCTGATCAAATTTCGGGTCCAATATTACATTTTTATTTTAAATTATTATTTATTATTATTTTTATTTTGGAGAAATTTTGAGTATGACACAATTAAAATTTTTATTTTATGTTGAAAAATATGTTGAGAAACTTGATTAAAGTAATATCATTTATTTATTTATTTATCATATATTTTTGTTTATTTATTTTTAATTATAATATTTATATATTTTTTAGAAATAATTAATATAGTAAGCTGACTATTACTGACATTGGTGAATGAAAAAATAAAATCATTTAAAATTAAAAAAATAAATATATTAATTTTAATTTTATTTATTTATAAAATTCTTATAATGATACATATAAATTATTTTGTATTTTTATTTTAAAAAACTCCAATCCAAGTTAATTTTGTATAAGATTCAAGTAGGTATTTTTACTATAAGATCTAATCGAAACTGTCAGTGGTATAAGAATGACGCATAACTATTTTTGTATCGGAGGAATATCGGCCGATCTACCTCGTGGCTGGATAGGTAAATGCTTCGATTTTTATGATTATTTTTTAACAGGACTTACTGAATATCAAAAACTTATTACACGAAATCTTATTTTTTTTAGAACGAGTTGAAGGAGTAGACGTTATTGGCGGAGAAGAAACGATAAATCGGCGTTTCCGTTAGAAATCAAATTAAAAAAAAATAAATCTAATAATAGAAGACGATTAATTCATTATTTTACTTATATATCAAATATATAAATTATATATAAATTATACATATTAAAAAATTAATATTTATAAATTAAATGAAAATTTAAAATATATTTAAAGCGAACACAATTTGCAACGGGTCCCGGTCGCTCGACTGAATTTTCTTTATATAATGCATATATGTCGAGAATAAGAAGTTCGCAATTAAACGTTACAAAATATTTTTTTTTTCTTTGCAATAATAATAAATTGGTGACTTTCTGTTAAAGACATAATTAAATGAGAATTCCAAATATGTTTCCTTTGGTTGATACATATAGTTTGATTGGACTATATATATATGTATAAGGGTGACTATAGTTGACAACATTATCCCTTTCAAGAGTCAAGGGTTTGGGGTAGGTTGCCTCCTTAACAAGAAACCTGCCCTTGACATGCTCTATAATTTTCACCAACTCAAACATCATACATGTTATGATGTGGGCCATGTATGTATTCTTTGTGCCTCACCATTATATCCACACACACATGTACACATATTCTTTTATGTATCACATATATATATATATATTTAAAAGACAATACAGAGATGTGTCCTTCTGGCTGATAAGCTTATGAGACTTTTGTGTAGTTTGACATGTTCAAAGCTATGAAATTAGCTGTTGTTGGAGTCAAGGTGCTCCACTACTTTCATCAGGTCATATTTCAGTTTTCATATATACTGATATCTATATATATATATATATATATATTAATAAATAAGAGAGGAATAGATGGGTTTTCAGAGGGGTCAAGGATGTTAATGATTTTGATAGTTTAAAGAATAAACACTTTGATTTTTGTTATAAGCTCATCTTCTAGTTATTATACAAGACTTACCAGAACTTGTTAACATGTTAATAGATTTATAACTGTTGTAAATCAACAGCACCTCCTTGGTGCTTGTATTACTACAAGTAATTCTTCATATTTCAATATATACATATATATATATATATATATATATATAGATGAAGGAGAAGTTATTTGTCTTTGACAGAAAAAGACTTTGAATTTCATTTGATGTAAATAACTAACAGCTACATTCTATCCAATCACCTTCTGTACAACATTATTTTCGTCGAACCCAGATACTGTCTTCACCTTCCGGGGAACCCAACAAACTGGTACAAAAAGAATCAATTCGAATACATATCCACAATTCAGTTAATTTCATTTATCTCCGAAACAGCTTTGAGTAACCGTTTCGAGTTTCACCTATATCTCCATTAGACCAATATAAAAAATTGTTAAGTGTAAATTAATAAAGACGATGATCAAGCTAGATCATAACTCGGAGTAGTCACAAAATTGTGTATTGTATTTGGCAGCTGCATGCCATTTTTGAAATGCAGCTCACTGGTAGCCGAAATAGTAACCTTGTTACTGGTAATTTGCTGTCATCTTATGATGAGGACCAGAAAGCCACTCTAGGGCAGGTTGAGAATTTTCGGGTTAACTCATACCTTTCAAGTGTCTTCTGCAAAAACTCTGAAGATAAAATCCCGGAAGCGTTTTGAATATTGCTTCGGATCAACAGCAGAGATAGAAGTGGGGTCATACTGCATTGATTTATAAGCATGCTCAAGCTTCTTGCTGATATCATAGTCTTGTAGGATGTCTATTATTCCAAAATATAGAATCACATCATAAAATTCTCCGGTTTGCTCTCCAACCAGCTGACTTTCACAGTTACTTCTTCTCACCGTTCGCTCAACCCTTGTTGGCATGTTGATACCTAACCTAATAGAAGCCCACCTGCATAATCCCATAGGCAAACTATAAGAAAAACAAGCATTTACTACTGTATATACCAAAATTATGAATCTCTACTACCGAGTAAATCTCATAATTCAGGAGACAGAATTTCGGAATTCAGAAGTTCAAGTTTAGAAACATATGGATCGTTTTGGTAAAAACACTATAAAACTTTGGGCACACGAACAGTGTCAAGAAAAGTTTTGCACTACCTGAAAACAAATAAAGAACACCAATACTTAATTGAGGTAACTTGGTAACTACTACTGAAATTTGTCATAGTCCTCAAAATATTGAAATACACACAACAAGATTATATTTTAAACTTCTTGCGGAAAAAAGGTTTTTGTGAATGCTCAAGTACTTATTTTACCCGTTGGGATCAAAAAGAAGCTTATCCATATCCACTCTAGAAAGGCGAGGAACTCCATTATCTGGATCTTCATGTCCTGTCAGGTAAAATATAACATGTTTTTTTTTTTATTTAGAAAGGATTTTATAAAAATCACAAATTAAGAATAACTCGAGATATGACTAA